CTACAAAAATCTATTTTTTCACGTGTTCCTGATTTAAACTTTTCCTAAATGTGATATAACCTTGATTTTTAGGAGTTTTTTCGAATGAGCTATCAAAAGATATAGAGTCCCGTGCAAAATTTGAGGGTTTTGCCCTGTTGAAGCTCAAAACGCGTATGGTTCTTCAATAAAATCTTGTAGATTTTTTCAGCGGCTTTTGAGCGCGCGCACATCATGGGCTCAAATCGAACGTTCAAAAGTAGGTAGCCACTTTAAGCCACTTTTATCAAATGCAGTGGTATTTTTTCACTAATTCTTCTCGAACCTTGGGATTTTCTACACTAATATCTATAATAGATTCCTGTGTAGCGCACTCTATTATACTGAAAGTAAAACTATGAGCAAAACTATAAAAAAGGGAAGAGGACTTCGTAGAGAATTAAGCTATCGAAATTAATTATGCCCACTCGAACCTTCCCGACATGCACCAATAGACCGATCTCGGCAATACTCGAGTGTACACCCAAACAATGGGTAGTTTTCCCACTCAATAAAATACAGAATATCCGACCACAGAACCCAAATTCATAAGATCTTTTAGTGGATATCCTTTTTCCCCTAATATACTTGAATGCATGTATTAGAATCAATGCATTCTACGTCGGACAAGTTCTCCATCATAGCAACAGTAATATAGGGAGTTAGCATGCAATGAATGCGGGACAGTGTATACCCCCATTCGACTTACCTCGTAAATGTTTACATAAGATGGGTCGGGGAAGTCTGGGTCTCCCAAGTGGGCACGTGCAGCGTAAGCGTGTTTAAATGCCTCGATAATGCGGTGATACGTACGGGCGGAGGCTTCATCATTAGCTCTGTCTGCCTCACTCATGTTGTACCCTAAAATACAAATATTCAATGCAATTTTAACACGACGTATACAAATATATTTCAGTTAATATTGGTTAGGCTGAGGATATCGGAAGTATACTCTATTGCCTTTAAAATAGTTGCATTTGAGCCGGTCAGTTTCTATACATTTACTGTATTAAACGAAATGCCTATTCCACTTGAAACTATTATTTGAAGGCAAGAGAGTGCGTGATTAGTCCAATAAGCCAAAATCAGTCACGTGCTGATATATGACTTCGATAACGAATCAATTCAGCTTGAGGTCTCTTGGGTAAGGCTCTGCTGGATAGCAAACAAACTTCACAGTCAAAATGGCTCAAGCTTAACCCCTTAGATTCCATTAGTGGTTGAATTTTCTTAATATTGAAATTTATTATTCTTTCGGAGAATACGAATGGAACCTAGGGGGGTAAGCTTTGAATTTAAGTGCTACCCTCATAAAACAAGGACGATTTATTTATTCAGAACTCTTCATTTCACGTTACCTTTAAGAATATTTAAGATGAGAGTAATAACGGCCCCACTAGATGGAGGAGCGGTCGTAAACAAAGATAAATCAGCTGACATATTACTTTTGAGTGCTTCTTTCCATTTGGGTTTATAATCCTTAAGATCTTCCTTGGTTATAATTCCCTCGGCTCTTTTAACATCGCGTACAATATCGACTGCTAAGCAGCCATTGTAGAAGCTTATTGCATTATCTCGTATCTTTTCCAGGGTTATTGCTAGCTGTGGGTTTGTTATTCTTTCGCCAAGTTTTTTCATTTCTTCCCCGTTAAACAAAAGCTGCCTGCAAGAAGAAGTAATTATTACTAAATGACACATAGTATTTCATATAATCTCAAAGACGTAGTGTTTTTTAAAGTTCGTTAATAAAACGACGTCATGATTGGGTATTAGGGGTGGTGTAGTGGTGTTGCGCACGTATTTCTCATTAGACTGCGAGCAGTCCCTCTTGGTCACTGTCCGTCTGTCTGTCCATGTTTTTTCGTCTTTCCCTCCCCAGGGACTTGTAACCAATCTTCCTCGGCCAATCGACACGGACAGACAGACGGTCAGTAACCAAGGGAAATAGAGGGACTGCTCGCAGTCTTAGGTTTAATTCCTTGACTCGGCATCACATGTTCAGAAGAGTTTGTTGGGTTCTCTTCCTTGAACCGAGGATTTTTTTCCCATTTTCCAAGCTCCCTCCGCAAAACCAAACACACTTAAGTCGTTAACCGTTATATTTTACTTTCGTTTATCATGAAGCAAACAATTGCATAAAATGCCACCATGCTTTCCAGCCGAAGTTGTAAACGAGAATAATAAAAAGAGAGAAAATGAGAGAGAGAGAGGATTATCCCCGCATTTTGCCATACAGTCACTGTACTACAGGAAAAGTTTCAGAGAAGTGCAATTTATGAATGTTTTTATTTATTTTTGCTCCAACCCGACTTACTTGAGCCCTGGATCTTTTTTGATGTCTTCTTTACTTAACTCCATGGCTTCATATACAGGGATAGGGATTGGGAAGCCATTGGTGGCCAAGTCAATGGATGGTTGCACCAGATCGGACCAATTTAGTCTCCCGTATTTTTGGTGGGCCGTATAAAGACCTATAACTTCTCCAGGGATTCCTGACGCTTTTCCGCCTATCAAAATAAATGGAAATGTTTACGAAAAAGTCTTCCAAGCTTCACGCATGGATAGTTCGATATCGTAAGATATTCTGGATGTACTGAGCATTCTCGGCTCAAGTGAACAGCTGAACGATTGAGCCTGTATCACCACCAAGTGCAATTAATCTATTATCCTATTATACGCTCGTGTGTACGTAGTTGCGTTAGTGTGGATGAATGCTTTATTCTTGTATTAGTATTAGAACAGCCGTGAATGCAACTGGGAGCTGTCGTAAAGCGACAGAAAACTATATATACAATACGTGATTATTTGAAGTTGAATTAAGAATGATGAACTGAATGATGATAGATGATCTATAGTTCAAACAATCATGAATAATTAATGAGCATTTAGACCTATCAGGTCCTTCAAGTCCATCACTTGCATGTATCTTTATACCTGATAATAGTTCAACATGGATTTCTTTAAATAAATATTTTGAAATCTTTATAAAGCACCAAAAGAGTACAGGAGCATGTCACGAATAAGGACCCTAAATGCTCATTAATTATCCATGTATTTTTGAAGTCGTTCAATAAACTCGCAGATCGTGTTTTATCAGGTCTAAAACCACTCGGCTACGCATCGTGGTCTTAAACCTGATAAAACACTCCTCCTCGTTTATTAAACTATACATAATGATAACTTTGCGGATGATATAGTAGCTAAGGAAAGACTGGGAAGGAACGGGACTAGGGTTGAAAAGGTTTGCTGGTCAGGCCAAGAGTATGGGTGTGATACAGTTTGTCTTACCATTGGTAGACGAGATGTTCTGAAACATGTCTGGTGTAGCAGCTTTTGGCGCCTCTTCTCTATAGTCCAGGGTTTCTGCTCTCCCAGTACTCTTATTATAGATCAACATGAATCCACCTCCACCTATACCAGCAGAGTGCATATTGATGACTCCAATACAAAAAGAACTAGCGATAGCAGCATCTACAGCACTACCTCCTGCCTTAAGGATATCTCGGCCGATCTCAGAGCACTTTCCCGCGTCTGTGGCCACGGCTCCTTCCTTGTATGGTCCATAACTTGTCCCGTTCCCTGATGGTGTAGGGAAAGAGGTGGGACCGTTGGTGGGGCGGCCTGTAGGAGACGAGGTTGGGGTCTTAACGTCTGGTGTGGACCCAGAGTTCTTAGAAGTTTTTGATCGTGTAGCGAATCCAATCCCGAAACCAATACCAAGTATGATCAGGGCAGAAAACACCAACACAAACACTACAATCTTACGATCCTTTGCGCTGGAAAACATGAATTAGATGAAAATAGATTACTGCGTATTGTTCAACAAGGCGGATGGCTCTTCCCTTCAAAAACCCCGACGAACAGATTGAAGAGTCTTTCGTCCCCTAACTTCTCAATTCTTAATTTTCTTTTTTTAAATCTAAAGGAAGTTGCAAGTCTCAGGTAGCCGCCTCAATAAGCCTAGAAGAGCACTACGAATACAAGACCTGCTCTTTAAGGGTTTTCCGCGCGGAAATGGTTTCTGAGTGGTCTGAAATAAAGGGATCGACGGTCCAAGCTCTAGTGTTATCGGAAACAAGGGATCCAAAGTAGAAGGACTTATTATTCAAATATCATAATTGCTTCCCTAAACTAACCACAAATCTTGAGCATTTTGGAGTGCATAAATGACGATTGGAATTGAATTTACCCACCCACCCCTCCCCCAAGAAAATCCGGTCACTTCAATTTTAAAATACCTGAATTGCATAGAACTTGAGTACATTAATTTCAAGAGATTTGTCAATATTACGCCACCTTAATAACAAACAGCTTTCTTTCACCTTAATTAACAGCTTTCTTTCTTAAATATAAATTAATTAAAGAGTCATTCATATAAACTTTTAAAAACCGGTACAAAAACGTTGAAGGAATTTCATAAATGCAATAAAAAAAGGTCTTGCGAAGTGTCTGAGTAGTGTCTGAGATGAGTGAGAGATGAGACATTTCTATCAACTTTTCAAGAGCACGGAAAAAACCCCAATGAAACGTTTAAGATACGGTTCTTCTCAGTGTCCCCTCTTAAATAAATTTGCTAAAAAATTTTTTATTTAAGATTAGGTTTAGTGAATAGAAACGGTTTCAAATAGGTTAATCCTTTTCTTTTTAAAAGAATATACGGTAGTCCATTATCTGTTTCTACAGAAGTAATTTATATAATTATTCTGTTTCGTATCAACAAATTATCTTGTTTTTTGTACGTTTAATTTGTTTTTTTTATGTTTGAGAGAGAACTAAACGTGCACAGACAACTTTGTCAATCCAAGCAAACTTAGAAAAAGCTATTTATAGTTATAGAAGCTCTGCAGTTAAAGTAAGCCATAAGTTAAACCATTTATAGACAAATTATGGTCCAAAGGTGTAACTAGATCGTTTTAAAAAGTTATACAAACTTTATGTATAAACTCAAGGAATACTAAACGTCGTTTCTTTTTTATTTTATCTTATTTCTTTGTTGAAGAAACTGCGTAACGTTGAACAGGAAAGCCAAATTATAGTCATTTTCTCGTTGACAAGAATCCGATGTGTCTTCTAGCCGATCTCTTGACAACACAGAACTTTTAAAATAGAATTAACACGAGAGTCGAACAAGACTAAGCCGGGAGGTTAATAGCAATAAGCAGAATAAAATAGTAAGTAAATAGACTTTATGAACATACGCTAGCTCTGGCTATTATCAACATTGCAAATTGGTTTTGACCAGGTCATGTGGATTAATCTTCACTGATCTTCAGGTTACTATCGACCGAGGTATTAGGTTAACAAGCTTTTAGCTATTACATACGTTTACATACTATTCTAACTAACACGATTCTGAGTTCTAGACTGAAATTAGGAGGAATTCATTTAGACTATGGCAACGCAGCTTAAAGCCGTCAATATTTGGGCATATTTTCTGTACGTAAATCTATTATATCCTTACTTCATGGCCATGATGATAAGGCGTAAATCTTCACTCTATGATTTCGATGCTGTGGTATGAGGTCTTCAGCTTCTCTTGCTGGATGGCGACTGAATTGGTTTCACAATCGTCTTCAGCTTGGCACAAAGTCGTACTCAATCCACTAGAGGTAGGGAACGAATCATAAATGTGTTTGTATACTACTTCCAATGTCCAATGCATGGTTATCGATCTCCAGCTCAAAGGCTTGATTGACAGTCTGTCAGTCCCTGTCAACACAGACGATGAGCTGAACAAATTTTCTTACGCTTGACCAATCAGCGTGCTGGATATTCGCTAGGCCTGCGGCTCATCTCGGATCTGTCTGATCGATATTTAAGAGTGGCTGTCCGTAACGGTCGAGAATGGCGGGACAGCGAAGGAATTTTCAAATTTCTCATATTTTGTCAGAAGACAACCTTTGGTAAGCTCTTTTAAAAAATCCAGTTTAAAACTTCGAGCGCTTTTTTATTTTGGCGAATTTTACGAAAATCTAA